ACAAAAACCTTTACTAAGGTGTTTTGGACAACATTCAATCAGACTTACTTATGGCCACTGAAACTGATTCCCAACTTGTTTGCATCACTGGTGCAGGAAAAGAACATGTTTGTTCATCTTGCGACAAACAGAGCCACTGTTATGTTGAATTATATGTAACATAAAAAGTAGCCTACACTGTTTGGAAAAGAAATTACCTGCCCATCGTGAAAAAGATCTAGCTGCTAGTCAACCTAAACCCCACATGGCCCAGAACCTTACTGACGGCTCTTTTTTAAAAAAATCCAGGACTGACTATTGTGGCAGCTTTTTCCCCCATAGGATTAGGGTTAGCACTTCATTCTAATCACTGAGCTAGCCTAGGGGCTAGGTAAGGTTCAGCCATTCATTTCGTCTTAAACTTAGCAATAGGGGATAGGGTTAGGTTGAGCCGTTCATATGATTTGATAGCAATAGATTGGCCCAAATTGTCACTGCCAAAAATAAAACAGGGGAGAGACATTACAAATAATTTTTTAGCTACTTAAACCATTAGATCCATTCCGAAAATAATGGGCTATTCTTCTATTTTACTACAAAATTGAAGACATGTGACACTATTAAAAATCTATAATATAAACAGCCAAACTCACTGTACTCCAATAGCTTCACATTCGACCTCTATAATGCCTCCCCCCCCCCCCCAACCCCCTCCCCCACACCCATCCACCCATAGACGATGTTATGAAAGAAAACAGAAATCACCGAACTGCATGACAGACGCAGTTTTGAGTTGTTTAAATTCTTTTGTGCAATAGAAAATGTGTACCAAACACATATTATATTATGCTGTGCATATAGTAAGCTCAGCGCTAATCGCAGTCTGGCTATGCGTTTCCCTTGTCACTAATATATCCTATACATCACACCATACATTTTAGACACGAGAAAGGTTACAATTGCAGCCTATCTAATGTTGCTCTCATCCATCACCATCCCGTAAAAATATAATTGCTGATATTTTTATATTACAATGGACGCTTACAGGCTTATGACTGTGTTTAAAATCTTAAATCAGTGAGTCAAGTGAGTGAGATTATAGTACCTCAGATTAGTACATCTAGCCTGGATTTTGTGATGTTTAAATAAGTAATTAAACACAAAGGTGAAGCAAAATTGCAGCATTTAGATATTATATTAATTAACTGAAAGGTAGGCTTTGACCAGACCAGGCTCCTAATCTTTTCGAGTATTTTCTTTAAAACATACACCTGGATCTAATATGTCTAAATTCTTATCAATCTTATTCTTATCTGTGAAAAGAAAGAGGGGTTCCTTTGGAGGCTCTCTCGGTGCACTGATAGACACATCAGTGTTGCACCATCCTTTCTGGTCTTGTTTTCTTCAGTCTTCCACTTTCAGACTAATCAGACGTTTGCTGGTGATGAATTTTCTGTGAGAAAGTCTCTAAGGCTGTAAGATGTTAATCTAGAAAGGAACTAGAGGTTTCAAATGCTTGCACTTTTAAGACAATCTCTTTGGATTAAAACACAACGTTAGAATCTAATAAAACTCTTTCCTTACTAACAACATGTACTCGCACAATCAGATGTAAACTAACTTATTTGCCAATACGAAAATGGCCGCCAACCAACTCAAAAGTTTCCGTGTCACGTAATCTCCTACGGACTCTAGTTTAAAAAGGAGATAACTCTATGGTTTCGGGTCACGAGAGTCCTTTCGGCTCTGTCCACTATCCTTCATTGTTCCTGCTGGTTTTGAAGCTCCTCCGTCTCCCAAGATCGAAAAATAAAAAGCTGTGTTTGTCCTAGTTTCTGTAACTGACTGTTTTTAACTGGGTCGGGCAGTTGGCCCTCCACACACTGGCGACCAGACCTATGCACCTTTAGTCGCCATTATGATACGCAGTATCACGGCAGGTGTATTCTTTACTCACCCATAGTAAAACTATGAGACCCCCATCTGTAGGGGTGTCTCTAGACTTTGTTGCTCCCATTATGTTTGAGCTGAACCGTGAGCATTAAGTCTTAAGTGCATGAAAGGGTTTACCCCACCTCCACCGTCCACCTCCACCGTCCACCTCCATCCCCCTTCCCATCT